GGGGCCGGGAAGGAGGGTCCGGGGACGCCCGCGGCCTCAGGGGGGGTCGGCGGTGCCACTGGCCCAGGGGTCACCGGCAAAGACCCCCGGGCAGGAGGGGGGGGACTCGCTGCCTGCGGGGGAGCCCGGGGCCTCGGCTGGGGCCTGACCTTGGGGCAAACCCGGTGTGGGGACGAGGGCCACCCCCCCAGGCGCGGGCGGGCGGCCGCGGGGGTCCGGGCGGGTGCCAACACCTTCTTCTTGGGTCGGGAGCGATGACAGTCGCATCGGCAGGTCGGGCGCCGGTGTCATGGTTCGCTTGGGCGAGCGGAGAGTCCGGGAGACCTCAGGCCACCCTGCTGTGTCCCCTGCCGGCACTGACCTCTGCGCCCGGCCACGCTGCCAGCGCCGCTGTCACTCTTGCCAGCTCGGGGCCGGCACTAGGCGCTCGAGGACAAGGTGGCTCTCGCGAGCCCCGGGCGGCCAGCCTCACTGCTGGCCGGGTCAGCGGTGTGGGAGCAGCCACGGCATTGTGCCGTGGTGCTGGTTTAGGTGCCGACTCTCCTGAGCCCCGTCACGGTGCACGTATGGCACCGAGCGCTGCCGGGCAGAGCTGCGGTGTGAGCATGTGAGGAAGAGGGGGATCACCTCAGGGACCAGCGGCGCAGCCGCATCTGCGGGGTCCCAGCGCTCCTGGGGACTCCTGGCACTGTGCAGCTGAGGGCCACAACCGGGGTTCACGCAACTCAAGTGCACCAACTGTTCCGCTACACCGCCCTAGCTATTCTGGGAGCTCGGGGGCTGCCAAATGCCCCAGGTGACTCCTCTTGGCACAGGAACATCCCATGGCTCCTGGGAGAAGCGGGACCTTTCTCCCTGGGCCACCAGTCCTGGAGGAGAGCCGGTGTGACCTGCGTGCAGGCACATCTAAAAATACCCGTGCTGTCCTGTGGGCACTGAGTGCTGCCAGTTACGGCTGTTGTAGGAGGGAGCCCTGTGAGGCCAGCCCCAACCTGGAGCCCCACCAGCACCGGCGTGGTCAGGGTTACAGCCCGCCACCGCAATGCCGGAGCCGTCATCTTCCCGGTGCTTGGCGGGGACCAGCTGCCGGGGCTTGGCCTGGTGAAAAGCAGCTGAAGGAGCTGACGGTGGCACCGTGGGAGGACCCTGCTGCTGTTGCCGCAGCTCCGGGGCTGGGCGACATGCCACCCCAGACCCTGCTGTGCCTTTGGGGCTTGGCCTCTCCTTAAGGAAGTGGCGAGCGTTATCCCTTCGCACCGGCAGCACCAGCACCATCTGTGCCACACCTGAGGGATGAGATGGGGCCAGGGTGGGACACGAAGGAGGGAGAAGGTCTGGGCCGAGCAGGGCTCTGTGCTGCCGCTGGAGCCCAGAGCAGGGCTGGGGTGGAGCTGGGGAGGGGCAGCGGGGGGTAACGGGCAGTTGTCCCCGCTCCGCTGCTCCGGATTAGGTGTCCCTGAGGTCAGGTTTCCCTGCCCTTCCTCCTCTTGCGCAACAGCAGCCCTGGGACAAGCGCTTGGACTTCCCCGGCCTCTCCCCGCCGGCTTGCGGCCCTCCCCGGGCAGGAGGGCTGAGGCTGGCCACGGGTGCCTGCTTTGTCCCCGATTCACTCCCTACTCTGGGACCGAGTCCCATCCTGGGAGGAACGTGGGCAGGTCTGGAAGGGGCCCAATGTCATGGTCATCCTGGGGCGGGGGGCCTGCCCCACTCGGGCCAGCGGCTCGCTGCTGGCTCCGCTACCCGGCGCGGTGACGGTTCCTCCGCTAACACCTGTCTCCCGCCTAGGCACACGGCCCTGTGTGGCCTCCGGCTCAGCCGGTTCGGCCGGCCAGCCAGCAGCACCGAGTGGGAGCCCCGGACCCAGCCCAGCCGGTCCTTCCTCAACCTCACCAACAAGCGGAAGGAGTACTCGGAGCGGCGTATCATTGGGTAGGTGCGGCAGCTTCCCCACTGGCCAGTTGGTGAGGGCCCTGCGGCCCCGGCTGCAACACCTGCTCTGCCCCCAGGTACTCCATGCAGGAGATGTACGACGTGGTCTCCAACGTGGAGGACTACAAGAACTTCGTGCCCTGGTGCAAGAAGTCGGTGGTGGTCTCCAAGCGCTCGGGCCACGTCAAGGCCCAGCTGGAGGTGGGCTTCCCGCCCGTGGTGGAGCGCTACACCTCCATCGTCACCCTCGTCCGCCCCCACCTCGTCAAGGTGAGCGTGGCCCCGGCGCGGCAGGCGGACCATCCTGGCTGACTCCTCGGGGCCCCCCCTGACCGGCCGCTCCCCCTCCCCAGGCCGTCTGCACGGACGGGCGCCTCTTCAACCACCTGGAGACAAACTGGCGCTTCAGTCCCGGTATCCCCGGCTACCCCCGCACCAGCACCGTGGATTTCTCGGTAAGACCCTGCTCTGGACAGGATCCAGCCGTGAGGCCCCCGGGGAGGATGGGGGAGACAGATGGTTCCTGCTGCGGAGACCTGCCCGTCCGCCGCCATCCCTGCCGGGGGCTCACGCCACCCCCCTCTCCTCCCCAGATCTCCTTCGAGTTCCGCTCCCTGCTGCACTCCCAGCTGGCCACCGTCTTCTTCGATGAGGTGGTCAAGCAGATGGTGGCAGCCTTCGAGCGCCGGGCAGCCAAGAACTTCGGTCCCGAGACCCGCATCCCCAGGGAGCTCATGTTCCACGAGGTCCACCAGACGTGAGGGCGGCCCGGCCACCATGGACTGTGCCAGGGCCCCCGGGCCGCCCACCCTGCACCCTCCCTCCTAAATATTTATTTGAGTGCATCTCTGCTGCCGTTGCCTCAGCTTCCCTCCTGGCCCTGGGGGGCAAGAGGTGATGCTCCTGTGAGCACAGGGGGCTGCTGTGAGCCCCCAGCCCCACCGCAACGCTGCGGGAGCTGCGTCCCAGCGCTGGACTCCCTGGTTTTGTAGCCGATTTTGGTTTTAAATTTGGTTTTAGTTCTTGGGAGCTCTTTCCCCCCCCCACACCTCCTTTTGTTCCTTTTAAGTCCTTGACAAGGCCGGAGGGTCCCAGCGGCAGGGCAGCTCCTGGGCCAGCAGCCGTGCCTGGGTGAGGCAGCAAGTGGCCAGGGAAGGATGGGGGCCAGCTGCTGGGGGCCCCCTCCTCCCCCAGCTCTTCCAGGAACAAAAGGAAAGGAGAAAGGCACAGGGAGGAAACCCTCCCCTGCGCCCCGGGAGCGGAGCTGCTGCCTGGCCCCTTGCCCGCAGCCACCATGGCCGGGCACCGGGGCCGAGGGACCCCCGGCAGCGCCCGCTCTGCCACCAAACCCGATGTCGCACAGTTTGCACAAGTCACACGCACAGGGTGGGGACAGGGCAGCTTGTGCTGCCCCCCCACCCCCAAGCCCTTGCAGCCCCAGCACCTGCTGTAGGCTGAGGTGCCGGCACTGCGGGGACCAGGATGGCCCATGGCCCCCACCATCCCCTGCGTTCCTCTGGTTCCGGCTCACCTTTCCTTACCTTCAGTGGGGAAATGTGGGGGCCCTCCAGCTCCACCAGGCCAAAACGCCCACCTGGGGGAGGGGGGCAGGGGGTCCCTGAGCTGCCAGCCCCCAGCCCCCCAGCTCCCCCCTGCTCCATCCCCACCACCGAGGGCACCCTGGCCTTGCTGCCCAAGGAAGGGCTTTTACAGGCCAATAAAGAGCATTTTTCAAGGGTAAGCAGCTTCCTGGTCCTCATTTGGCAGCCATGGGAGAGGGGAGCTGGGGCAGGGGAGGCCTGCATGCTGAGACCCCACCCACAACTCCAAGCCAGGCTCGCACCTGCGGACACCACTGAGCCTGGTGCTGCCAGCTTGCCAAGCGGCACTGTGCCGGCCCCAGCAAAGCCATAACAGGGCCTGGGGACGCGGGGCAGACCCTGGGTAGGGTGGGAGCACCATCCCCTGACCCACCCCCGGCTAAATCCAACAGCAGAGCACAGCCCAGGGGTTGGGGTGCTGCCCCAGGGGACCTTGGGGCCAGAGAGAGGGAGGCTCCAGATTTGTTAATAAAAACATTTATTTTGCATTTTGTCGTTGTTTGTACAGAAGTGCCCAATACCTGTGAGTGTCCGGGGCTGGCACATGGTGGGGGGCCAGCTCCGGCTGCCGGGGGCATTGGACAGGGGGGGTTCACACAAACACAGGGCATGGGCTGGGGAGGAGTGTATCGAGTCCCTGCTTGGGGGGGGGGGGCTGA